GTATTTATTTTAGTATTGGCTACTCCGAGGATTATTAAATTAAAGGTTAGAAGCCCTTCTAGCCCGTCCTAGCGCTCTTTTTATTAATTAGATAAGAAAAAGGCATAAGTTAAAGGTATATCTGGCTCTGCCTAATATATCCATGGATTAATCCGAATAGTCTTTCCTTAAGTATAGTAATCGGTGATTCTTACGCTAGCGCGCGTTACTTCCTTTATTAGTATACTCTTTTTCCTTTAATAGGCGGTTACCTTAGGAGTCGGTCGGATAGGTAGTCTAGATCCGGACGCTATAATACGGCTAGTACCGTAGTGCGGATTAGGGGTAGTTAGTCTCTATACCGTCGCCTACGTACTCCTTTCTATAGTTAAAATCGTTAAAGTGTCCGTATTAAGCTTTAGTATATATAATCCTAGCGTGTCGGTTACGATATCTTCTTATATAGCCGCTCCATTATCTTATTAGTCAGAAGAATTATTAATTAAGAGTTCCTCCGAAGACTACGGCTTTATGCTTATAACCCAAAGATTCCTGCTCTAAGGATTAGGTATTACGCGTGGGGTTTAAAGTCCTGTCGTGGGCGGTTCGGGTATACTGGGTGTATTTAGTAGTGGCGACGAAGCGTCTAATTTAGCCTCTACTACTCCTACCCCCGAGTTCGAACCCGTGGACTATACTTATTCTCTAGAAGGTGCGTTATTAATTAATCCACCCGGAGGGTAGGCCTATAGGATAAAGTCGTTATCTTTATCTTCTTATATTTCATAAGTTATAAGCTAGTTCCTCGCCTCGGGCTCCGGGATCTATTCTGCTTCTTCGAGCTATAGTTTATAAAATAGCTACTTATTAAACTATATATTACGCGTTATAATAACCCTCTAAAGCTATAGAATCTATACTCGGTAAATATTATAGGTAACGTAACCTATAAGATACCTAATATATTCTTTTAGTTAAATCTTATATAGTTTCCTATTCCTTCTAGCCTCCCTATCCCTCGCTATTAGATAGGCGCGGTAGCCGTAGGCATAAATACCACTCTAATCAGGGCGTAGGTCGGCTATATACTCTCTTATTAGAATCGGCATATTCTTTCTAAACTATAAATCGAGGATTTCTACTAGGGATTGCTATCCGTATCGTTATAAGGGACTTATATTATATAATAACGCTACCGATCTAGTACTCTCTAGCTATTTATCTAGTAGAATTCCTGCTCCGTTAAGTATAGCGTTAGACTTTATAATAATTAGTTAACCGGCTCTTTCGCTGCCTCTATTCGGTTTATAGGTATAAGGCGGTGTAATTTCTATATCGATCCCTTAACTACTCGCCTATAGCTGGGTTATTAAATCCCCTACTAAATTAACAATTAAGGGCTTATTATTACTGCGTATCTTATAGATATATAATATAAACTGCCGATTAACCTATTATTCGAAGGCTTATAGCGCGTTATAAACCGTAACGCTATTTTTCGAAGCTAAAGGCAGCACGTAGATCTAGCCGCTGTATTCGTCCTTTATTATAAGAAGATATCGTATACCGTTATAGCTCTTAGATAGCTCTTAAAGATCCTAATAAATACGCTAAAATAGTCGTGGGGAGCGGTGTTCTAATATATATCGAGATATAACTTAACGTGCCTAGGTTCTAGAGTATATCTTATAGTCTATTCGCTTAGTTCCCTTAATTAATACGTTCCTGGCGTTACGAACTAATACTCGTAGAGCGTTTAGTCTAAGATAGCCTGCTCTTAAATACTATAGATATTCTTCGTCGACTTATAAATAAGGAGGGTTATGGGAAGGTCGGTAATATCGGTGAGCTTTAGTTAGTCGATCGACTACTATAATAAGTATATACTAATAATCGTAGTTAATCGGAATAATACCACGTAGTATCGGTTAGAATAACGAATAAAAAGAAGAATATAAAATTAGCTTATACTAAAGGATAGTTATATTAAAGCGTCGAAGTAGCTTTAATAAGACTACGCTCTTCTCCGCCGTTTTAAAGCGTAACGAGTAGTTATAACCCGAATACTAGATCCTAACCTTATATAATAGAGCTTCCGATATAATATTCGTGTGAAATCCCTCCACGACGATTATATCGTTAAGCTCTAAGTTAGCTTTCGGAGTATTTAAAGGTTTATTAAGGATTCTCTTAAGAAGCCGTTTACCTTTACTAATAATCGGAAAGTCGGTTATACCGGATTCGATAGATCCCTTTATAGAAATAAAGAAACCTAGAATAAACAGGTCGATTAAGTTAATAAGGTAAGTTACGCCGTAATTATTAAGAAGAGTACTCTATAAGAGCGGGTAAGGGCCTGGTCGGAGCGCGGTATAGATCCTACGGACCTTTTCTATAGTGTAGATAAGGGCGGGATCTAGGATAGTTATAATAACCTTCTTAGGATACCTATCTCCCTTACTACTACCGCTCTCTAAGCTTTCTTATCCCTTTTTCGATAGTTTTTCGCGTAAGTTTTTCCACTTCAGGAGCTTAATCTCCTTCCGTATCTCCTTATACTACTTATTATTAATGTAGGTATTAGATCTCTGCTTATATTTTCCGGTTAGAGCGTACTCTAGCTTATTATAGTGCTCTGGCTTCTATATATATTCGTGTTAATAGGGGTAATTAGTGCTTTTCTTCTTAGGCTTCTTTCCGCCTTCGTTATTATCTAAGCGGTCTCTTAAGGTCGCGTAAACGCTATAGCGCGTGCCGTTTATAGTTAAAGCGCTTATAATAGCGTTAAACTCACGGCCGTATATTCGAAGATCGGAAATCTTATCGCCGCGGACCTTTTTTATTATTAGCTCCTAAAGCTTAGTTTATGCCTAAATAAGCGTAAACTTCTATCTAACTACTATAAGGAAGTTCCGAATAGTAATAAGTCCTTTAATCTTAACTACCTTTTACTAACGTACGCATCTAATAAGGGTATTCTACTCTATATACTATATAGCTATTTTAGTATGAGCTCGACGAGCGTCTTATAGATACTTTACGTATACTTATCTTACCTTTTCCTTCGTGTGAATACTACTTAGAGCGAAGCTACTCTTAAGTTCTTTTATTACGTGGCGTAACGTAAAGTGTCTATTTTATTTTTCCTTATTATAGCCAGGATATTTTTTAATAGCCTCTTCGATAGCTTATTAATAAGTAGTGGTCTCCACGGTGGTTTTAAGTAGTTAATTAGTCTTATCGAGCGCCTTAATAAGGCGACTGAGCTTTTAATTCTAGGCTATAGTCTACGAATTCTTAATTTCGGCGAGGCGTATAAGCTCCTGCGTTAAGGGTATAATAGTATCGTTGCCCTCGCCTTAGGAATATTATTCGCGTAGTTAATCCAGGGATTTAGGTATAATATACTTAGGACGGTTATTTAGCTAATCCTTTTAGCTAGGATTAAGTAATGCCTAGACCTTTATCCCTTACGTATCGACTGGATATAGAAGATCTAATCGGCCTATTACCGCGTGGATTTAAGGCGCGGGATACCGAGCGCTTTAGCCGTGATTTTAAGCTTATTCGATATAGTGTCGAGTAAGGGTTTAGCGAATAAGAGCTTATTATTAGTAGAGAGAGCGTAGAAGGGCTCTATAATACTATAGAAGTATATAAAAATAAACATAGATAATAGATTAGCAGAAAGTTACTGGTTACTACTACTATCCGAGCTTATAACTATTAAATTAACAGGAGCGTACTTATAGGGAGCGTTAATTCAGGAAATATATGATTATATTATCTATAAAAGAGAAAGAAAAAGGGGGCGGGTATACGTGTCCTAAATATATCTGCCACCTTCTAAGCGAGGATAGTGGGGCACCTCTAACCAATAGAAGAGCACCATACTATGGCTCACGTGATAGAATGTGACAGGAAGGACGTTGTGACCTTATGGTTTTGGCGAGACACCATTCGTGTTTGGACCCCGGATACTGGAGACCGACATCGGCTGCGGGACACCCATTGGCCAATAAGAACTGCTTATATAAGCTTGTTGCTCTGGTTTCTCTGGAAGCCTAGAATTGTCACTAAAGCAAAAGGGGCAGGTGTGATTCATTTGTACCTGTACCTCGTTCGTTCTGGAAGACGCCGCGGGTCCTCATCGCGTCGCCCTCCTTCTCCTTCTCCCCTTTCCTCATGGCATTATTACTTGGGTAATTCAGCACGCCATCTCTCTTCATCATGCCTCCTACGAATAGCGCCATGGTCCGTCCCTCTTATGTTGAATCCGAACCTTCCACCTTTCCACCTGCCACGTTGGGCCTTCGCTTGTCTTCCGATTCCACCGGATTCATGTCGCTAATAAATAATTAAGCAGACCGACCCCGTCGCCGTACTCGGGCATTAGCAAAGGGCACCCACCTTGTATACAAGGCGCCCCTGCACCAAGTTCTTCCAGAAATCCATCCTAATCATTACGAATGCATCGTGCCTAGGGCTGCGTGCGGAGTATGTCTTGGATTTCACACGTGTTCGAATTCGAACGAAAGGATAAAAATGATCACGACCTTCATAATCCGTGACTAGATCGTCGTGGCGCTGTGCCATGGTCTTGCATCACCAGGCCCTCGAGTCTGAGTCTCAGGAGATCTATGTCATTGACAAAGAACAGCGTCTCCGCCTGGCTGAAGACCCTCTTGTCTGTCGCTAACGTGACTCGCATCGAGACCCCGCAGATAGCGGTGTTCTTTCTCCTTCCTGTGCTTCTCCTCGACGTCGAGAATCCAAGTGAGTCTAAACGTCCCACCTCCGGTGCCGCTAATAATAAATTTCTTTTCGCCCGTCTCCTCAGATAACCAGCTTGGCTCCCCAGCCTTCATGAATGGTGCCAAAGCAATAGATTCGCCGACAACCCCCGTGCAACCGCAGAATAGAGGCTGGGCATCCCAGTTCCGACTCGCGCATGAGTTCGGTCCACGACGCCCCTGGGAGGCCTAGATATCATGTCAAACGCTCTCTCTTGCGCGAGATGAGCCAGCTATCCGTTCTCATCCTCCGATCTATATTGTGAAGCATTGTGTCGGCCTGGGACGTACCGTGTACTGCGCTCGCGGCTGCAAGCAAAGGCAAGAACCATGGGCCAGGGCAACCTCATGCATGCTTTCATCGAGCAGAACGATCACCGATGTCACCATCCCCTGGCTTCTCCTCTCCATCTGGGGGACAAGAGCCCGCGACCAGAACGATATATCTCCATACTTTCACTTGGCCAACCCATCAACTCATCGCGAAGTGCCACCAGGGTTATTTGGTCAAATGCTGTCGACCATGTCCCCTCTTCCATGGTAAAGCAGTGATTCGATTCGTTTCCCGGCATGACGAGCTTGAGTGGCGCATTGATTTCTTCCAACAGTCGTAGGAATGACTCGACTCAACCAATTTCCGCGTCGCATCACCCTATTGCGCAACGTGCCGTGTCCATCACTGCAACAGCTCGGCTTTGGGTACTGTGAAGGGACCAAGGGACTCAGATACGGCAAGCACATGGGGTTCCATAGCAGAAGCATCGTCAGTTTGGTCCTTCGATGGCTCCGGGTCATGTACGGCCGGGCTGGCATTAGGCGAACTCATCCCGAACCTATTCGTAAGTGCCTATTTCGAGTGGCTTGAGCCACCGATAGAGAGACTCCAACAAGCCGACTTGGTATCCAGAGGCCTCGACATTGCAGTGCTGGTCTTGTTCTGCGTCTGTCGTCGAGTCGACGACGTCGACTCGTCGGAGTTTAGGCGCTTCTGGTCGGCTGGTGGTTAACTGATGGTATGCTGCCATGGGCATTCGACCCAACGATGGGTGGATACTTCTGAGCATGTATCCGTAGCCAGTACCTGATATTTGTTGTCTGCAGCGACCGAGCTGCCCATGATGGTGCCCGGGTGCTGTGCCAAGAGTCCAGAGGCGGCATTTTTGACCGTCAGGACATGGTCTGTGCATAAGTGATCTGCGCATGCGGCATGTTTTGACACATTACTAATCACCCCGGTCATTACTCCGAACGCCGACCCGATCCGATGCGATCCGATCGGGCCACCGCCCAACATCGATCACCGACTCTCCTCTGATCCTATTTGACATCACGATGCTTAAAAGAGAAGGCATACCAGCCGCAGCGTCTTGTATTTCGCAGATTTATCAAGCCTTCTCACTACTGTTTATGGGAGCTTTGACACCCCTTCACGGACGCGCTCATTATCGTCAGTATAGAATAGACCCCCTGTCATATTCATCTCACGCTCACGGCACATCTTTTTGAGCGACGCATCTGAAAGCCATACACTTTTCTCATATTGTTGATTCGTACATCTTTGCATCCATACTGTCACCCAAGCGGCTCGTCCTCGCCACCCCGCCGTCATGTCCTCCTACACCCCGGCCCAGCTAGACGCCTACTTTGAGCGCATCGACTACCCGCGCTCCGCCCACCCAGAGGGGCGCCTTGCTCTCGTAGACGCCCTTCAAGCCCGCCAGCTCGCCTACGTTCCCTTCGAGGACTTGACTCTGCACTACTCCCCTCATCGCGTCTTGTCGCTCGAGCCAGATGACCTCTTCGAGAAGATCGTCCAACAACGGAAGGGAGGCTACTGCATGGAACTCAACACCCTCTTCGGTGCCGTGCTACGAGGTCTGGGCTTCAAGGTGATGCATCTCGGAGGGAGGGTGATGACCCCGGACGGCTGGACCGGCATGTGAGTTTTCACCTCGCCTTTCTTCCGCTCTTTGCCAAACGCGGGCGGTTTCCCCGTTACCGTTACTTAACCCAAATGTTCAGGTCACACATGGTCAACATCGTCACCGTAGACAACCAGCGCTACCTCGTCGACGTAGGCTACGGCCGCGGCGGGCCCATGCGGCCCGTCCCCCTCGTCTCAGGCTCCGAGTTCGACCAGATCGCCCCGGCGAGGGGACGCCTTCTCTACACCTCCCTCCCGGAACACAGCGACCCGTCGCAGAGGGTGTGGCTGTACTCCACCGCCGAGCCCGGTGCGGGCGGGGAATTCAAGCCGCAGTACTGCTTCGTCGACGTCGAGCTCTTCCCCGCGGATTACGAGGTCATGAACTTCTCCACCATGACGGCGCGGACGAGCCTCTTCGTGCAGTATGTGCTGGCCGTGCGCGCTGTGCTGGATGAGGAGAAGAACGAAGTGATCGGATTGGTCACCTTGTTTGGCGATTCGCTGAAGAAGCGCGTGAGAGATAAGGTGGAGCTGGAGGAGAAGCTGGGTAGCGAAGCACAACGGATAGAGGCTTTGGAGAAGTGGTTCGGGCTTGTGTTGAGCGAGAAGGAGAAGTCGGCGATCAAGGGCACCGCTGTGGAAATTCTGGAGAAGACGGGGTAGATGGACCACGCTCTGCATGTTGCGTGTAATGTGATACGCAATGTCAACCATGACCTGATGATGATATCCAGCGTCACATGTAGATATTCTGCACTTCATCATACCATTCCCCCTAGTGTCAGGGCCGACAACGGCCTCCACCCCGTCTGTCAGAGCTTGGTTGCGCGTGTAGACGGGAGGACGGGTTTGGGGAGAATTATCCCTATCCGCCCGCCCCCCCCCCCCCGGCGTGTTGTTATATGAATGAAAGCCTTGTCTCGTTAAGAGAAATAGATGATTGAAGCTGGAATCTGCTTCTAATCTCATATTTGAACACAACCTCCTAATGACTACTTCGAGTTAACTGTCCCGATCGAGAGCTGGCCTTGAAGCGTTGTCATAGGGTTGCAGGACCACCAAAGCCAAACGGTCCCTTGCTAAGAATGCAGATCCGTGGATCATGGAAGAAAATACAAACGCCTCCCCCCTCCCCCAATTTCTATGGTTTAATCCCCAGCGCCTGTACCTAGAAAGAATCCTCCTGTCGTTCGATGTTTCGCCGTGACGCCCACCTTCTAGGTGTTTTGTATCTGGCCTCTCAGCGCATCCACTTCTCGTTGCAATGCATTCAGATCCGCCAGGATGTCCACGCCTCGGCCGGATTCGGCAGCCGATGTTTCTGCCGATTCATTCGATATGGGCCACATCTTGTCGTCGGTTCCCTTCAGAGCGGAGGATGGATAGCCTGCAGCGCTTTCAATGCTTCGTGCGTCTATGCTCCCCTTACTATTCCCTCGCTGACGGGGTCGAGGTGGTGGAGGAGGAGGAGGAGGAGGAGGAGGAGGAGGCGCTGCGTTCTCTTTACCTCTGTAGCTGCTTATTCGTCGACTCGTGCTGTCCAAATTCTTGGCGGACGGACGGCGGACGGAAGAATTGCGGGCGGGCGGCGGAGGTGGCCGTGACAGTTTCTGTTGATGCGCAGACGGCGCCTGGTCATCTGCGGATATATCAAGAGAAACCGTAGACGACCCGGCTGGAGTAGCAACGATCGAGTCCTCGCTGTCCCAGATGGGAGAATGCCCCGACGCAGGTGCCGCGTGGGACGAAAACCGAGACGACAGACGTGGCAGGGGGACCGACCGCCGCGAGGGCGGAGGGGCCGGGGGGTTGCGTAGGTTGTCTGGGCGCTGCTGTGCATAAGTTTGTTCCCCAGAACTAAGCGGCATAGTCGTCGACAGCACATGTTGCTTGCTCTCGGCGCGATTGTGGCCGCGTCTCGGAGGGGGTGCCGGCGTGGGCTTCTTGCCACTCTCAGGGGCAACAGACGCAGGTAAGGTCGAGCCTTCGTGGTCTGGCACCTTACCGGCCGCCTCTTGTGCAAATATATCTTCTGGGTCGTCGTCTGAGGCATGTCTCCGAGGTGCAGGTGGCAGCGGTTTGTCGACATCTGACGGTGACACTGGTTTGAGGGAGGAGATAGATGAGGACGACGAAGACAGGCCCTGTGATGTATTGCTGTCTTTCGGTTGTGCATTGATGAGCTTCCCGTGCCTTGAACTTGGCGGTGGCGGAGGAGCTTTCCGTTGGCCGGCAGCGACGGGCGGTACGGTGCCAAGGGGCGAATGCTGGTTCGGGCTCTCAGTCTTTGGGACTGTTTGTTGATGCGATGGGCGTGCTGTGGTATCAGAGTTTGTAGTTGACGATGTCGTGCTGTGCATAGCAGCGAATATGGGTTGAGGGGACAAGGGTGGCGCGTTGGTGGTGTCGCCGTTGCCCTCAACTTGTCCTGAATTAGTTGTGGAGGCCGGCAGGACAATGTCCGATTGGCGCCCCTGTCCCGTCAACAACAGCCGCTGGAAGGCATTGACGTCCAATGCAGCCTTGCTCGACCACGAGCCGCCCGTTGACTCCTTGACGGTGTCCTGTTCAGGGTGTGGGAACGTCGTTCCGAAGGGGTTGTCGGCGCCTGCTCCCCGGTTAGCGGCGACGAGGGGAGCAGCTTCGTGGAGACTGTGGCTACGATTGGAGGGGAAGCGGTTTTCGAAAGGCTCAGCAGCATTGGCGGATGTATCGTCGCTGCTGTAATCCAGTTCGGCTGTACTCGAATCGGGAGAAGGGGGTGGCGGAGTCTGGAGGCGGACTCTCTTGACGACTTTCGTCTTGGTGGGGGGCAGCGAATCAGGAGGATGACCGTCGCTTGGGAGAGAGCTGATGGACTCGAGAAAAGCAGCCGATGAGGAAGCTTGAGGTCGATTGGAAACGGCGGAGGTTAAGGCTTTGTTGCGGAAGGGATTGGTAGAAGTTTCGGCCATGGTAACAAGAGCTTTCGGTTGGCGACCCCGTCCGGTGACGGAGGCACCGTGGGTGGAGTAGGGGTGAGAAGCAGGAAAGGTTCTCTAGGTTGATTTGTAGGCTTGTCGCGATCATGTATGATGAGACACTGGAAGCGTGATATTAGGTCGTTAGGGCTACGCAACAGCGGCCATTGTTCGTCCGGTCGGCAGATCCGGATGGAACGGCGGGAGGAAATATCAAGAATGGACAATGCTGGCCTGAAGCAACGATGTAATTGCACAATCGTGTCAACGTCCTACTAGAGTCTCGTGTGTAACGAGCACAGAGGGATAGGATAATGGTGCGGTGGTCGACGGGGATTGGAGAGGAGGAAATTGTGTGAATCGACCGGATGAGGCGGAGACGATGGGGAGCGTATCGGCCTGAATGGTTGAGTTCGCAGGAGGGTCGAGCCAAGGATCTGATCTGACGAAGCAACCCGAAAGACAAGCTAACTCATCAGTTGTGCAACCCTGTTGTACACTCTGTAGCACCACGCTGTCGGCGGCCGAGACCGAGACGAGAGGACGGCAGGGCGTTAGCTAACAGTCGATGATGTGGCACGGTACGTTCGGGTTGCTATGTCGGGACACCTTGGCTTGTTTGACTTTGTGAGGTCTTTGTGAGGTCTTTGGAGGTCTTTGGAGGAACCGCCGTATTATTCACTCTGTACGTGTAGATCGAGCTAAGCCGATCGTCTCGTCATATAACTCTGGGTAGTGGCGGAGACAGTCGTGGTGGTCGAGAGGCAGTTTTGTTGGAGCCTTGGAGGGGGGACAATCTTGTGGGTCTGTCTTTTGGGAAAGATGAGGGAGGAGGGGTCACGGGATTGCTGAGGAACGGAATGGGGCGGACGTCACGGACGCACGGAGTATTACGTACAGCCCCTGGCATTAAACGGTAACACACTGCGAGTACCATACACATCTGATTGACGAATAGATTGGTACAACTGAAGCCCAGTTCTGCTTATCTAGAAGTACATAAGAATCATGGAGTACGGTCTCCGTCGGTACCTAACGGAGTAGCGATACCTCACATCATGGGTCCGTCCCTTGGGCGTTTCTTCGTGCAGCAGGGGGAAACCTAATTGACTGCGAAGTACCTAATAAGGGACGCATCTGCAGTCTCACACATCCCACTTCCCCTTGCTTGTCTTCACGAACATTGCCCATTATGGTAACAAAGCGACAAAACAAATCGGCTCCGTACTAGGACAGAACGCGTTCCGACTCCACAACTACACGTCTACAAGCCCTTCTGGAGGACATCCGAGACCAAGACACACACACACAAAGACGACAAGAAAACACGAAAACATACGGGGAAAACTGATGAACATCGCATATCGTGTTGTATTCGAGGACCCTCTTCCTCTCCAAAACCAACAAACAAAAAAGAGAACCAAAGCGCATCGTGGTATAATTACAGTCGTTCCGAAAACCCAGAAACCTCGCGCGTCTCATCCTTGTCGTCGCTAGAGCCAGCGGAAACCCAAGATAAGGCCGACCAGAATCCAATCCACCCTCTCCCCCAGGCCGGTACTCATCATGACAAAAAAACGTTAGCCGTATGCCGGCGCAAAAGTTGCAGAGAGAGAATCAAGTCCGCGTTTCGCGCTATCCCTTGGTGAAGACCGTCCCCAAAATAAACCCGCCGTTTCCCTGATTTGATACCGTAACGCCCGAACATAACCGTGCAAATGGAGGTGGTGACGTCGTGTGGCAGATGAATTTCACTCATCCGCTACTTGATCCAACGTGGTGTGGCAAACCCTTTGCTCAAGAAGCGGCAGCGGCGGCTGTGTTCTTCGTGGTTGAAGCTTTCTTAGGCCCTGCCTTCTTGGGACCGGCCTTGGCAGTAGTGGCCTTTGAGACGCGACCAGTCTTGGTCTTGCTCAGGGCAGCGGGCTTGTCAGTCGAAGTCGCCTAATTTCCCCCCGCGTTAGTAACCAGGGCAAGCAATGAAAGGGCCGAAAAAGAGAGAAAAGGACCAGACATAACGCACCTTCTTGGCCGTCGTCTTCTTCTCCTTGGCGGTAGTGGCCTTCTTGGGCTTGGCCTCCTTGTCGACGGCGGCCTTCTTTGCTGTTGTGGTGGTGGTGGCCTTCTTCGGGGCTGTCTTCTTCTCGGTGGTCGTCTTCTTGGTCGTGGTCTTCTTCTCGCCAGTTGCTTGCTTAGCACCGGCTGGCTTGGCCGTCTTCTTGGCCAGCTTGGTACCACCGGAGGGACCTGGAGGAAGATGTCAGCAAAACAAGTCCTGGCTAGTGGGATGAAAAAGAGTTCCGGTCGCATACCCTTGGGCTGTTCAAATACGCCCTTCTCAACACCAGACTTCAAGGCCTTGTTGAAGAGCGAGTCGAACATGCGGTCAGTGACCTTGATGTCGTTCTGCGCCCTGACATACTTCTTGAGGGATTGACGCGACGAGCCATTGCGGTCCTTGAGCTGTAAGACGGGGGAAACCAGCAAGGTTAGCGAAAACTCTTCCGGTGGCATACACTACCAGGATGCGCCCAAGAGCTTCATAGGTTGAAGTAGCGATCCCAGAAAACAAGGGCAGTACGGCAAAACTGCCAGGGCTGGGGTGGGAAGGCGCCACGCCTCATGGATTAGGCCGAGTGCCCAAGCACTGAACCTAACCAACGCGGGCCGCCACAACAAAACACGCCCCAGCTGCAGTCACCACAATGCGCCGGAAGGTAGGGAATGCGTAAACATACGTGCATAATAGCATCGGTGATCATATCCTGGGAAATGGTTAGCAGAGAATCGAACAAACGTATCGCCGGGACATATCGGACCTGGTAGCTGGCATGGGAGCTCTTCTTGGGAGCGGGGGCAGGAGCGCCCTCTTCGGCGATCTTCTTGGGAGGCATGGTGAAATGAGGACGGTGATGCTTTCGACCGCGGTGGGTATGAGATTTGTCGATAAAACGTAAAAGCGAGGATACGATGAAGTGATGCGCGGTTTCGGAAAACAGTCCTGTGGCTTGCAGTTGAGGAGCGTGGCGACGATGAATAGAAAACGAAGAGGGAGCAAGAAGGGGGAGGGTGGGAGGAACACGCGCGTGGACGGGGTCAGGGGGGATGTTTATAACATAAGGCGGGGGTTCGAGGCCCTGATGCGCAATCAGTAACAATCAGTAACCTCCAGACACGCGCTAAAGGTGTAATGCTGCGGCCGCTAGTCCCGTTTCGGGTGGAAGCTGTAGTGGAGGGGGATGCACAGAGAGGAGGAAGCTCCTGCGACTGCCGTACCAAAATGTACAACAGAACAGCTCCTACTGGCTGGTTGGTCCAGCGTGGTCACCAGCACACAACATGCCACCATTGCCATGCCCATGCTCAGAAATGCCCTAACAACATAGACCCCAGCACGGTACTCTCTGGATTTCCTTACCATCAACGCTACCAGGCCAGGCCCCGAAGGCAAAAAGATCCGGATTTCTCGAACAAAAAGGATACCGTATCCGGTACCTCACCGATACAAAGTCGGTGATATTTTCGTGCCCCTGTTATCGTATAAGAAAATACGTCGTGGACGAGCAATTTTTTAATTGGTTGGTTTCTCAACGCCTCAGTTTAGACGATATCCACCATCTGATCGCGTGGCTTCTCGTCCATCTCGTCTGTCGCCCTCTCCCCATCTCGCGCGTTTCCACACTTATTCTTCAGTCCAACCTTTCTCTCTTTCATCCTCTTCCTCCCGCTCCTTCTATGGTCTGCTGATCTTGTCCCACCGTCTAGTAGGATGTGTGGCCGCACTTTCTCTACTTTTTTTTTTTTTCCGTCCATACCTTGGTTTTCTCTTGAAATCTCTTCAAGATTCAGTGAGAGAAAAGTGAAAAGGTTCGAGGCGTCTCTATTCCCAACTTATCGAAGCAGCTTGGTCGATTGTTCTTCCAACAACATGGCGACGCGTCAACTTCTACTTCTGATGACTAGTTACGTCTGACTCACTAAAGAATCATTCTTTAGTGATTTTAACCTCGTGTTTTGCTAATTGACCCTTTTCCACTTGTGCTTATTTTCTGCGTGGCGAGTATCGCATGCATCTCTTGATGTTCCATATGTTCATGATATCACGCGTCGCTACCTGACACTTCACATCGCGACCCAATAACGCAGCCCAATGCCTTATCATTACCCTTCCCACCCTTCAATCAATCATTTTTCCTAGACTTCTTCTGATATGGATAGGAAATTTTTCATCCGTGCTGGATTCTGTTTTGATTCATAGCGCAGCCCTTACACTCGACTGATGCATCATCTATCGCATGACCAGGAGTTCCACGACCCATAAATTTGAACACGTCAGAACGTCCACTTAAGGCAAGCAAGCAGTCTTAGGTGTAAAAGCAACGACATCTCCCTTATTTTATTCCCTTGGGCATTTGTCCTGGGAGGCTCTCGACTAGCAACATGCTGCGACAGTGAATATACGTGTCTTCCAACCAGCAAATCATTTTCATCATCGAAGTACCGTGTTTTTTCGGCCGACTCGACATCTGGCTATGCTCTGATCTCTTCATATTTGATGCAAATGTAAATCAACGACGAAACATCTGCGATGGCCTTCGGCAGCATTGCCAATCAGCGCAGGGGGCGAACGAATCGCTTGACGGCATCGAGGGTCGATGTTGGAAGTGTCCCGACGCGATCCTTAACGAGGGGACGGCTTCCCGGCTCCGATATATGCAAGGCCTCTCGGAACGGGTCTTGACCTGATACGTCGTATCCGTCATTCCCCGGTTTGCCTCAGTCTGACGCATCGGAGCTCACCGCAACATGGAGAGGTGGGGGAAGACACTCGCTGAATGAATCACGAGCTGAGACTTCTTCCAAAAGCTCTATCTTGGGTTCGAGACTGACATGGCAAATTAGTGACGGCCCGCGCTCGCTCACTGGTATGGGCCTCTTCGGCACTTTCTGCCCTGTCGGGCTTGGCGATCTGAAGTGAAGTTCGATGCCACGTCGCGGCCAGCCATACGAGGTAGAGAGCGGTGTCCTTCGCCTGGCCTTCTGTCCCACTCTCATGTGACCCTCATGCTCCTTCAATGCCTTAAAGTCAATTTCAACAGGTGGAAAGAGACCGGCCGTTACCAAAGTTTGGTCATCGGCCAAACATGGCCTCGTTATTTGCGCAGCCCTTCAGAAGTCTAATGCCCCGGGGCAGCTGGGTAAGGGAACGTATCTGACCTGATACGAGATTCCAAGCCCTAGTTGTAATGATGAGTGAGATTGCGGCGTCCTTTCTCGCATACTCAAAACGGTAAGGCGGTTTTCGGAAAACAGGAGTCGAGTGAGACGGAATGGCTCGTTGGCCTATGACCTGCTCCTCACAACTTTCCGCAATGCTTTTGTTCACTGGTCAACTTTGCTTTATCCTACCTACCTACTGTAGTATAAAGCATGAGTGGACAGACTTTTGCCGTCTTCGTCATCTCATGCCATCCGTCACCATCGAATGAGTAAGAAGGCTGCACGAGTTTGGATGGTGGTAACCTTGGACGGGGTGCCAGGATCGGTTTTATTCCAGTCTTCGAGGGAGTTGGCCCGCTTCTTTTGGTCGAAGGCGCGCGCGTATGTCGGAGTCATCGCACGTTTGCACCAGCGTGCTGGAGCAGGCAGAGGCTGGGAGCCTGGGTGGTATGTGAGAGCGGAAATGGTCGGTGAATTCAGGCACTCCACGTGTCACTGGTGGGGGCAGCGGCATCGATTCAGCACTAGGAGTGACTTTCACCGCTATGGCGGTATGTACGGAGTATGTACACATGTACTGCTGCAGGGTCGTCTGTGGAGGAGCGGAAGCGTGTCCTGGAAAGAATGTCGTATCCCAGAAGTGGGCGCGGTCATGAACCGCCGTGTCGTCGTGGTAGAGGTTCGAATCCTGATGGTCGAATTTGTTTTTGTTTATATTACCAAGGTACTTGGTAATAATAACAATACTCCGCACGTTCAGCGAGGAGCCACTGACATCTTAGGTAAGGTAAGGTAGTGGGGCGCACACGTCGAATGTGACTGATGAAGCTACCTTAGTAGGAGTACACGTGTACATCAGGCAAGGTATGTACCTTACCTAAGGTAGCCATTGATAAGGTAGACAGGTGGGTACCTAGTGGCGTATACGTAATCAAAGTGTGGCGTGCAGGTTAGGAAACCTGGTTATACGAACCACTTCGGACGCAATATCCCCTGCGTCAAGAGTGAGATGTTGGTTCCTCCGTACCATTGAGGCGTTGTCCAATGCACATCGAGAGGACAGTCCCGGTCAGGGCAGCGACAATCCGAATCAGGTTAACCAGAATACTTTGATCGATCCGAGCTCGGAATTTCGAGAAAAGGCTTGGACATTCAACAGCTGGCTTTTCAAGGCATTCCTTCGTCTCTATGGATCAGCCAGCCACTGTTTGTACGTCGTCCTCCTGCCTGGACATTTCATTAACGATGGACTAGACCGCACCGTGCCTCAATAGTCTGAATTGATTCAAGCATATGCTAGGGTTTCCGTCCGAGTGCTAAACCATAACCGTCATCTGATCCCTTCTAAGCTTATCCTAGATTCGAAGGGGCGCATAATAGATACCTTATATTGCTGCGAAGGCCTTGGTCTTCAAAAATGGGAAATGGAAAACCTCGACCATGTCCCGCGAAAGCCCAGCATCGCTGTTAGGCCTACCTCCCAGGGTATTGATATGGGGAAGTTTGTGTATGCATCTCGAACGAAACGGTAGGTTTCTCCTGCGCGTTAGAGTCGCAGAACCAGCCCACAATGACGTTACAGTCCCCCCCTTTCAGTTACCGACCTCAGGTAGGGAGTACGGAGTTGCTTCTCTTACTCTCAGCTCAGCCCTCCAGCTATCCCCGCTCTAGTTGGCATGCCACCCTGCAAAACAAAGAGACCGGGCCGAAAACTTAAAGTATAGCTCTAATAAAGGTGGAGGGAAGCTAAGTGAAAGACCAATCTTGACTCGTTTCCAACGGCGGCGGGGGCAAAGGACAATAAGGTTTTCGGAGCGTTGCAGATGGGAAAAGGGGGCGGGAAGCAAAGTTTGCGCGACTTCGGCTATGGCGGCGTTCTTAAGACCGATTAGG